ATCATTGTGTATCGTGGTCTTTACTTCGGAATGTATGATTCTTTGAATCCTGTCGTCCTAACAGGGAAATTGCAGGTTAGTTGATACACACATACAAGTCACAATCAGTTCATTTGGTTTAAGTCTTTCATTTTTGATCAATTTTTGAACTTATAACATTTTTCTTTTTGATTTTTTTATCTGATGTTTTTTATTTATATTTCATAAATTTAAAATATGAACTAAACATGCATTTTATATTATGATTTCAGGATAGCTTCTTTGCTAGCTTTGCACTTGGTTGGGTGATCACAAATGGTGCTGGGCTTGCTTCCTATCCAATTGACACAGTCCGAAGAAGAATGATGATGACATCTGGTGAAGCTGTGAAATACAAAAGCTCTCTCGATGCATTCTCTCAGATCCTCAAGAACGAGGGCCCGAAATCTCTCTTCAAGGGTGCTGGTGCAAACATTCTCCGTGCCATTGCCGGAGCTGGTGTGCTTGCAGGTTACGACAAACTTCAGATGATTGTGTTTGGAAAGAAGTATGGTTCTGGTGGAGCCTAAACAAGGGTGTTCTTCTCTTGTCTGTTATGCTTATAGATGGTGATGAAAATCTGGGTTGATAAACAAACACAATTCATTTCAAAACTTCCAGTCAGTTGAATAATTTAGTTTAGAGAGGGTTTTATCTCCTTGAAATTTTAATTTTTTCTTCTAAAATTGATTCTATTGTTGAAAATTTCTCAACATTACTTCATCTATTTTTTGTGCTATTGATTAAACCCTTCCCCCAAGAAATGAAAATTAGTTTATCAGAGTATTTGTTCTACTGAATTCTTTTTGTCTGTTTCATTTTCTTTCCTCGTTGGTGATTTGTAACTCAGTGATAATCTGCTATTAACATGTATTATTTAAACAGAATAGTTCTTCGTAAGTACCAAGGAACTATAGACAAAATAATATGTGATGGAAAATATTTATTTACAGTTTTAAAACTTACAAATTATTAAGTTTTATCTTCAATTGTTTTAATTTTTTAAATTATAAAAATAAAATGATAAGATAAAATAAAAATTATTTTATTTCTTTATTAACATTTTTATGATTGTATAAAAAAAATCACCAATTACTGAAATAATTTAAGAGTCAAATTTTTGTAACTTAATTATATCATAGTCAGTAATTTAATACCCAAGTGCTAATTTACTCATAAAATATTACAAATTAAGAGAAAAAAATTTCTAAACAATTCTTGTGATCCGCATAGAAGTCTCTGTCTCTACGTACAGGCAGGAGAAGGACTCAGCGCACATCTGATGAGCCTTCCTTGTTTTATCAAGCTGAGGCCTCTTAGTTTGATCTCACTCCCAAAACCTCTCTTAAACCCTTTTCTTCCTCTCCCATCTCATCAAGCACACTCTCTTCCTCCTTATAAAGAAAGACCCACTAACTGGAACACGACCCACGCCTTCGTTCTCCAAGACCCACTTCTTTCTTTGCTAGAGAAATGCAAATCCTTGTTCCAGTTGAAGCATATCCAAGCCCAGATGATACTCACCGGCTTAATCTCAGATGGGCTCGCTTCCAGCCGGCTTATCGCCTTCTGCGCTATCTCAGATTCTCACGATCTTGGTTACTGCACCAAGATTTTGTACAATTTAGATAATCCGAATACGTTTTCATGGAATGCTGCGATTAGAGGATATTCGGAGAGTAAAAACCCGCGAGAAGCGATTGTTTTGTATGTACAAATGTTGCGAAATGGTGTATGAGACTGATAATACACTTACCTTTCTGATCAAGGTTGCGCTGGTCTGGTGTGAGTCGCGTTGGAATGAGATTTTGGGCATGTGGTTAAGTTGGGGTTGGATGTGGATGTTACGTACATAATGCGGTGATTCACATGCTGGTTTCTTGCGGGGATATGATGGTGGCACGCAAGGTGTTTGATGAAAGTTGTGTTAGAGACTTAGTTTCTTGGAACTCTATGATTAATGGCTATGTCAGGAATGGTCTCGCTAGTGAGGCAATAGAGCTTTATAGAGAAATGGAAGTTGGCGGAGTTAAGCCAGACGAGGTGACAATGATTGGGGTGGTTTCTTCATGTGCCCAGTTAGATAATTTGAATCTTGGTAGGGAATTTCACGCGTATATTGAAGAAAATGAATTGAAATTAACAGTTCCACTAGCTAATACTATTATGGACATGTATGCTAAGTGTGGGAATCTTGATGCAGCACAAAGAATATTTGATATCATGGGAAAAAGAACGATTGTCTCATGGACTACTATGGTTGCTGGCTATGCTAAATTTGGATTCTTGGATGCTGCCAAGAAGTTTCTAGATGACATGCCAGAGAAAGATGTTGTGCCATGGAATGTGATAATTGGAGGCTACGTTCAAGCTAGGCGTGGCAAAGAGGCCTTGGCATTGTTTCACGAAATGCAAGCAAGTGGTGTAAAGCCTGATGAAATCACCATGGTTAATTGCTTATCTGCCTGCTCACAACTTGGAGCACTTGATGTTGGAATATGGATTCATCAGTATATTGAGAAAAACAATCTTTATCTGAATGTTTCATTAGGGACGGCTTTGGTGGACATGTACGCCAAGTGTGGAAACGTCACTGAAGCACTCCGGGTTTTTTATGAGATGCCAGTAAGAAATTCTTTGACTTGGACAGCAATTATTGGAGGTTTAGCACTCCATGGGCTTTCACAGCATGCTATATCTTATTTTGAACAGATGATTGGTGCGGGGTTAATGCCAGATGACATCACTTTTCTTGGTCTTTTGTCAGCTTGTTGTCATGGAGGTTTGGTTGATGAGGGTCGTAAGTACTTTGGTCAAATGAGTTCCAAGTTCTACATATCTCCTCAGCTGAAACATTATTCTTGTATGATAGATCTTCTTGGCAGGGCTGGTCTCTTGGAAGAGGCAGAAAGACTTATTGAGGACATGCCCATAGAGGCAGATGCCGTTGTATGGGGGGCATTATTTTTTGCATGTCGGATGCACGGAAATGTTTTGTTGGGTGAGAGAGCAGCTTCAAAACTTCTCGAGCTAGATCCTCATGACAGCGGTATTTATGTGTTGCTTTCCAATATGTACGTAGAAGCAAATATGTGGGAGGAAGCCAGGAGAGTCAGGAAGATGATGAGGGAGAGAGGAGTGGACAAGACACCTGGTTGTAGCTCGATTGAGGTGAATGGCACTGTTTCAGAGTTTATTGTTAGAGATCACTCCCACCCGGAATCAAAATATATTTATGACTGTTTAATTCAGTTGACAAGACAACTGGAGTTTGTTGAATGCACAACTAATCATGAAGGTGATTTTCTCTTAGGCTATGAACTTGAAAGACAAAGGTATGATCTATATCAAGTGCAAGCTCGCTAAACTACCTTAAATGGTAGTTCAGCCTGTGTGTTGGTGTTTAGCCTTTGACAACTTTGCCCTTCTCGGAGACTGATTTTTGGACGCGCTAAATATTGGTAGTAAATGGTATTATCGTTAAAATGAGTCCTCATTTGAGATGGAAGATTTTCTTCCAAAATATAGATGAGACACAATGAGAAAGTCGGAATATTTTCTCAGTTGAACTTCCTCTTTTTGGGTTAAACAGTTGAACTACTTTGACATGAAAGGTTTATCAGTCTGTGGGGATCACAAAGCAGGGGTCCTAGTGGCCAGCCGCCATAAATACATCACAATTCTGATTCAATCTTTTTCTTTCCGTCCAGCACATAGCAATTAGTGTCTGAAGGCTCTGAATAATGGATTTAAAGTATAACTTAAAATTTCCAACTATGAAGGATATTTGGATTTCTGAGTTGGATAGTTGCCAGAGGTCTTTTTTGCAACTCGGAATTTCTTGGCAATGGCAGTTCTTTTATCAATCTAATTCTTGGACATGCTTTAATTTACTTGAAAGCAAGGTCCAGGCTTTGTCGAACGTTGTGGACAAGCAATCAAAAAGCTCTATAATGTTTGCAAGAAGACTAACAGTAAAGCACGAATCAAACTCTGGATTTGGCATCTCAGGCATCAACCTTATGGTAGATTGTGGGCCTTTACTTTAAAATGAAATATTTTCTGCATTCATTGACCTTGACAGAAATTTTTTTGATTTGTCTGTGGCAGTTACTTAAATCTATTTTTGTTAGAATGTCTTACATATATATTTGATATGCATAAACTAATTTCTCATTCAAATGAAATTTACTTAGAAGAATTAAGTAATCATTTGATATCTAGAACCAGTATCTTTCTGGTGGTATTCGAAACTAAAATATTAGTGCATCGGAATTTTTTGGAGTTGAGACAACAGATTGTGAGTGACAATGCGTTGGAGGCAATACTTCCTCTAGGTTACAAACTCAGTCTTATTTGAATCTTTTGTAGTTGCTTCATTACTGACAATAAAATTATACAAGATAAAAAGAGTACCGCCTTATAGTCGTGTTGATAAAACCAGCCTTGAATTGTCTTGGAAGTTTTTTGAGGCCAGTTTCTGCAAAATATTAGTTGCATGAACCTTTTCAGTTTCTGTCAAATTTTTTGAGCATGGTATTCGAAACATCCCAATTAAAATTTATGGCATTTGGCATTAGTCTCATACCATGGGAGGTTTAGTAAGTTAGTTTTGTGGTTACCTTTATAGCCCACAAGTTAGCTTGTGCTAACGTCTTTTCTTTTATTCTGTTTCTTTTGATGACCTCCATTAATGTTCTAAGCTCCAACTTATGGTTACATTATCCATTCCTAGATAGAGATTTACGAGTTGTAAGTTCTTAAATACTCTTGGACTAGATCAGAATCTTTCAACTAAATTGTTGGCTTACTTTCTTAACCCTTCCCCCGCGTCCCCACCCCCCACCAATCTCTCTCTCTTTCCCTTCCCAAAGAGATTCTATGCGTGAAAGCATATATTTGACCTTGTTGGCATGATATGTTCTCATCCCCACCTACAAAGCATAATAATCATGGAGGTGAATTAAAAGTGGAAATTTATTTGGTAGATGATTACACACCAACACTTTTGCAAAGAAGCCAAAACTGAAGGCTGGATGCTTTTATTTCTGGCCAGAAAGGAAAAGAACTAGTATGCATAAATTCTCATGGCAATACAGTTTCGGCTAGAGCAATCAATGTGCTTGATGGTAATTTGTTTAGGGAAAGTTTGGGTGGTAATTTATTTAGTGATAAGTTGGAACTTTGTGGAAGACTTCTTTAACTAAAGAACTCATTTGCCCCTTACTCAGAGAGAGAGAGAGAGAGAGAGAGAGAGACTAATGGTTGTGGATTCTGAACTTTCCTTTCTCTATGTATATACACACAATGAGATACACATACGTAAGCATGTATACTGGGAAATAATTGATGGATGAAAGTATAAACTCAAAAATCTGTTGGATTAACAGTAGGGCTATCTGCCTTTGCATGTATATTGATGTACACTTGTAGTTATATGTATATATACACCTATACCGGAAATAATTGGTGGATGAAAGTATAAACTCAAAAATATGTTGGATTAACAGTTGGGTTATGCGCCTTTGCATATATATTGATATACACTTGTATATATATATATATATCTACACGTATACTGGAAATAATTGGTAGATGAAAGTATAAACTCAAAAAATATGTTGGATTAGCAGTTGAGTTATCTGCCTGTGCGTGTATATTGGTGTACACATCAGATATAGATGTATTTGTATAGCTGCTGGGAAATAATTGATGGATGAAAGTATAAACATAAAATTGTGTTGGATTACACAGTTGGGTTTTTTTTCCTTTGTGTGGTAGACAAAAGGAATGAGGGAATATTATGATTTGTCCTTGCTTGCACGCTAGGTTTTGTTCCTATTCATTCATTCTCAATCTCTCTTTGCCTATCCCTCTCTCTCTCTCTCTCTCTATATATATATATATATATTATCAATCTCTCTCTCTCTCTCCTCTCTCTTATAATTCATGTCTGTTTCTTATCTCCCACATGCCTGACAGCCTTTGGTTTCTCTATCAGGGGAGAGTGATTGCATCAGCTAAATAGCTTTTGCAGAGCGTCCTTTTGTCACCTGCCGAAGCAGGAGATGATTGCAGAAACAAAATTATTTGGGATGCTTCAAAAACCTCTTCTTTTTTTCCTGCGGGACTGACTGACTGCCTGGCCCTTCCCTGTGCTCATCATATAAATGATGAACCACTGAAGAATCAAATCCATGTGTTTAAGGAAATTCGCAATGTAATTTCCTTTTTTTTTTTTTTCTCTCTTTTCTATCACAGTTTTCATCTTTTGATTAAATTTAAAATGATTTAATCAAGAGCGTTCTCTGAATTAAATTTGAAATGATTGGTATACATAGAATTCATACACACAAAGTGCAAATTCAACCAGCAAAACAGAAAAAGGTACCAAAAAAAACATCAAGAGTATTGACTGTTGACAATGATGAAATAAGAATAAATTAATAATATCTGCAGTGTAACATTTTTTTAAGGTTAAATGCCTTCAGTATAATTGTCTGAAAAATGTGAAGAAAATATAATATTGAGACAAGAATGGGAAGAGCAAAGTTCAGGAATTAAATAGTTAGCATTATTTATTATTTTTTTTTTTAAAGAAAATTTAATCGTCATATCAAAACACTAATGAGTTAAGTAATTATTTTTGTTGAATTAAATATTATATATTAATTATATAATCAATCCATAATACATTTAATAAGCGATGAACTTTATATAGTCAGTAAAATTTAAATTTGTAATTTTAAAATAAAATATAAAAATTTTAATTATTAAACTACGTCTTATTGGTAGTTAAATTATGTAATATTTTATTTTTTTAATTCGAATTTTTTTTTAAAATTTTATATAAATTGTTCGAACTTTGGTTATTTTTATATTTAAATTACAAGAATATCTCTACGTTCTCTACTTGCATTTTTTTTTTTTAAAGCTTACTGTATTTTTATCCTAAATTTTAACAAACATTGTATTCTTATATTATTTACAATATAAGTGATATTTCAACAATAAAGATGATGAATTTTCACTATAAGACTATGATTATAGGTTTGAATTATTTACATAAATAGTAATTGATGAATTGAATTGATACTTATTTATTGTAAGCTCTGATTAAATTAATAAAAAATTAAAATAATTATCAAACTTTAAATCTAAATATTTTAAAACAATATAAAAATTCTTAAAATCACCCTTAAAGTAAATTTATACACTAAGTAATATTTTATGTTCATTTTTCCCTTAAAAACTAATGTTATCCATCTTAGTGTGGATAAAAACCGGTGTAAATACATTTTTAGTACTAAAAAACATTATTATAAATATATATATATATATATATATATAACATGTGTTTGTTGTTCTCAAATTGATTCCTTGGGGTCATAACTAATATATCAGCTGACACCAACTTCCCCTTTGATAGAGTCAGATGGTTTTGGTGATCTCTTTTCAACCATATCACATGGTCCATCTTCTCATCACAAGCCACCCACTAACTAAAACTGAAATTCCCCAACCATATAATAAAATTATAAAATATGTCTGTGTATATATATATATAGATGTAAGTATAGTCCTAGGATTTAATTGGGTCCATGCCAATGGGACCCATGATTAATCCCAAATTTGTTCTTGATGACTCTTCTTTTAACTTTTCAAAGAGCTAATGATTTTGTTTTTTTGGTCCTCTTCTCATGTCTTAACTTTTGCTTGGTGGGCTTATGTACTTGGATGATCAATGTTTGGTTACCCATCTTGTTGGAGTTAGCTACTTGGGGATTTTACACAATTATCTCATCTATAAACATAATATATATATATATATATATATATATACACATATTTATAATATCTCACACCTAACTTTGGTGACCCTCCATGAAAGCTTGAGATTTTGGCAACTTAGAGAGGGTGTGATCCATGGATTTGGAATTAACCCAAAAGTAGGAAGGAATTGTAATAGTAATGAATAGTTAATTTCTTGTCATATGGAGACTAGTGATCACTACTAAATAAGATTTATAATATAGTTAAATTTCAAAAATATGTAAATTATACAATTTATATATTTATATATATAATAATAATGTATTTAAATAGAAAAAGAAATGTAATTAATGAGGTCATCAAATAAGGTGATAAAAATAGTAGTAGTGAAAATATAAAATACATTCAAAAGATTATTTGGGTAGCTAATGCTTGGGCCCAATGCACCACAAGCAAGTTAAGAAAGATTCTTGGCGTGGGTGGATGTTTATTTCTTTATTCATGTTTTTGATGATTTTGTTTTTTTAAAAAAATTTAATTTTTGATTTTATGTTTTCCCTCGTCATTCACATTCTGGAATAAGAGACACTTATAATATTATTAATAAAAAATTATTAAAAATCATTTAATATTCGAATATGTAGATAGAGACTTATTCGTAAAGAAAAATCAGCATTCACTAATCAGAATATAATAATTAAAAGATAAGTAAGACAAATTTAATAAAAATAAATTATTTTTTATTTAATTTTATTTAAATTTTTAGTCAGTTTATATTTTATAAATAAAATATTTTTTATTATTTATCTGTCATTTAATTAAAATAAAAAATGGTAATTTTTTAAAATAATTTTTATCGTAAATTATATTTTAAAATAATTTTATAAATTTAGGAATCAAAATGTAAAATAGAATTTTTTTAAATCAAATTACGACATAATTGGTTATTTTTAAAAGTAAATCAGGGCAGTTGATCAACCTCACCGCAAGGAGTTACTGACAACGGGCTATTGGCGTTACCCTTGTACATTTTCTTGACAAACGAGACAAGAAACTAGGACACCAGTAGAAGCGGTTCCCGGTGAAAAGGATGACACGTGTCAAGGGTCCCACAGCTGACTAATTACGGCTGATAGCAATGATTCGGTCAGCTGCATTTTGTTTAGGTGGCTCGCTCCTCTCAATTATCTCTCTACTTTACTCACTACGTTATTTTAATTAATTTTTTTTAAAAAAATTTCACTCAAACAGGTAATATAATATTAATAATTAGTAAAAAGTAAATAATTTTCTTTTTTTTTTTAAGTTGTTTAATTCTTAATTCAAAAATTACCAGAAGAAATCAAAGTAATGTGTATAGGTAAAATTTTCCTTTAATTCTGGGCTTGAGATTGAATTTCGCTGCGTCACTTATTGTTGATAAATCATAAAACTAATTTGTGAATATTGTTTAAAAATATATTTACCAACAGTAAAAACTATTTACTTTGCATTTTCCAGAAATAAAATAAAAAAGAAAAAAGAAAAAAGAAAAAAGAAAAAAGAGAAGAGAGTTCTTTAAAAGCGATCAATGTCGGCTCTTTAATCTCTTTCGCTATTTAATTAAATTATAAAAGAATCTTTTTTTTAATATATATATATTTAATTGATCTCATTTTATTTATTAATATATATTTTAAATTTTTTATTATTTTATTTATTCTCTCTCTTTCTACATATATATATATATGTAATATATTTATAAATATCAACTTCTGAATAACTCCACTCTCTCGATCCCCACTGATCCATCCATTTCGTTTATTTCCCTTTCACATTTTCTCCGGTGAAAAAGAAATACGGAGAATCCGAGATTGCTTGCTTTGCTTTTCCATTTTGGAGATCAAAATCGTGCAATGAGGTACTGGATCCTCTTGTTTTCATATGTATGTATGTATGTTTGTTTGGTTAGTAAGAAAATCTGATGAGAGGAATGGCATTTGCTGGTTTTCTGATTTTGTTTTGTTTTATCTCGTATTCTATGAGACGTAGAGGCTAAGCTTGCCGAATGAGGATTTTCTTTCTTTGTTTCTCCTGCATTTTCTCGGTAACCGAATGAAAGTTGATATTCTGTGTTTTATTGTCAACATTCTCGGTAATTTTTTAGAGAAGGCTGCTGAGATTCGCGAAATTAGTGTTATTTTCTTTGTTGATCTGGAGAATATATTTCTGTTTCTTTACTTTTCCATTGTGAATCGGATTTCGTTCAGTCCTGCTCCAAGTAGTTTTTATGAGAAATGCAAGCATTTATCTCGTTGTTGATTTCTAGAGATTCTAGATGTTCCTTGATTATTTGCAGAATTTTGTTTTGCAGCGATTACGCGGCGACGAGAAACTGAGTTACGGGTATATTAATGTGTGACCTAACATCTGAGTGAATCTGCATTCACGAATCTGTGAGCAGCGCAGGTTTAAACACGCTGGCTTATTTGCTAGATCGATTTTTGTTAATGAATCAAGTATCTTGATTTTCCTTACGTTTTGTGATATCTTCTTATTTGTTGCCTTGTAGGTTAGTGGTAAAATGAGCTGGAGCCCGCATATGGAGGTTCATTACCTCAACACCAGCTATCCCTATAACAGTGCTGGAAGCTTTATGGAGTATTTTGAAGGTCTTACATATGAACATGTGAATTTCATTTTTGATGGTGCTTCACATGTTCAGGTACTTTTATTGAAAAGTTTGCCATTTCACATTGGACTAACTGTTTCTTTTATGTTCATTTGGTTTTAATAGTTATTGGGACCAAAATATTGTCTTTTATGCTGTGAATTGGGGCTTTTCCATTTTTCTATTTTGTTGATTAGGTTCATTGGATATAACTACCTTTTTGATAGTTCAATTGACTATTTTTTTCTTCTTGTTCAACGTTTTGCCGTGCAATCTGCATCAAATCTTTATGCAAGACATGTATGTGATAAGAGCTTTTTGTTTTTGGATGAAAGTTATTGGTAATTATAGTGTTTACATTTTTTTAAATACGATCCTTTGTTTTTGCAGCAGAGCGTGTACCCCTCAATGACTACTAGTTTTTACAAGTTTGGGGCATCTGATCCTGGTGGTATTTCATATTATGATCATGCCTATGCTTATGGAGTTAATGATCATGAACCAAGAATTGAGGAATATAGAAGGCCTTTGGCTTTTGAGAACTCTTCAACAATGACAAATGTACAGACTGCAGCTGTTAATGCAGACTGGGAAAGGAACACAGTCACTACTCGTGAAAGCCCTGTAGAATGTAAGTTTTTCTTTTAGATTCACTCTGTGTTTTGATATTATAGTGGAAAGTCTGATCGCTTCTTCTTTTCATTTTCTGTATTCCTTTACTGATGGCCCGGAACTAGTAATAGATAAACATTATTTTCCAATTACAGCAGGGTTTTCACACAAAACTGATTTTCAAACGAAATGATTGTGATAAAAATTACGTTCTAATCTAGTGTGTGTTTGTGTCTACTGCTTTCTCTGCTTTTACAATCATTTGTAACCCTTAAGTCAGAGCAACAAACTATAATCTGCAAGTCTTGATTTGGCTGAGGGAAGAATCTGGTGACCATCTCAACC